TTATTTCCTATATTTCGTCTTCATACTTTTCTACTGGATGGTTAAGACCAAGGTAAAGCAGGGCCTATGCAACAAGAGTTGTAGCTTTTTGGTCTAAGCTTATTTTAATAAAATATGTACCTATGTATTTCCATTTAGGGGGTGCTAGATTAAGTAGCATTGAGTTTTTAATTTAAAATTTCAGCAGGGCATGGTGGCACGCACCAGTCATCCCAGCACTGGGGAGGCTGAGGGAGGAGGATTGTTGGGAGTTCAAGACCAGCCTGGGCTACAAAGTGAGTTCAAGGCCAGCCTGAACATAGCAAGACCCTGTCTCAAAAAGACAAATAAATAAAATTTAAAAGATAAAAACAAAATAAAATTTCACTTGTCCATTGCTCGTATACAGGAAAGTAATTGACTTTAGTATATTTGTTTTGTATCCTGTAACTTTTTTATAACCATGTATGGGAGTTTATTTGTCGATTCTTTTGGATTTTCTTTCTTTATTTTTTTTTTTTAATTTATTTATGTGTGTGTGTGTGTGTGTGTGTGTGTCCCCAGCTCAGCCCACCAGGGGGCGGGGCTGGCTGGCATGTGGTGCTGGGGGATTGAACCGCCGTCCCTGTGCTTTGCTAAGCTTGTTCTAAGTAGGTGCTTTAGACCACTGAGCCATCTCACCAGCCCCTCTTTTGGATTTTCTACAGACATTAATGTCATATGTGAACAAAATTTTTTTTTCCTTTCCAATCTGCATGCTTTTTAAAAGTCTGCAAGCTTGTAATTTTGTTCTTTTAGCTGGACCTTCCAGTGTGATCTTGAAAAGAGGGGGTGAGAAGGGCTATTCCTATTTATCCTTGATCTTAGTGGGAAAGTTTAGAGCAGTTTCTTTCTTTCTCTTTCTTTTTTTCTTTTTCTTTTTTTTTTTTTTTTGCGGGACCGGGGATTGAACTCAGGCCCTTGCACTTGCCAGGCAAGTGCTTATCCTACTGAGCCATCTCTCTGGCCCCTAATAGCAGTTTCTTAAATCAAGCATGATGTCAACTGCAGATTTTTTGTAGAAATTCTTTATGAAGTAGGGGAGCTACGTTTCTACTTTGCTAAGAATTTTAATTAACTAATTAATTAATTAATTATTGCATTTTAGTACAGGGTCTACAGGGTCTCACTATGTAGATTGGACTTGCGGTGATATGCCTGTGTTCAGCCTCCCAAGAACTAGGATTACAGGCACGCGCCACCACGCCCAGTCTCAGTCACTGTCTCAGGGTGCCCGGCAGGGTGAGGTCAGCACAGCAGGCCCAAGGATTGAACTCCAGCCGCTGCATCTGCCTAAGGAGGCACTTTAGTCCACTGAGCTATCTGGCCAGCCCAAGAATTTCAATTTTGAATGAATGTTGAATTT